ATGGCTATGCACTATAGGCATCCAACACAACCCAACCCTGCTAATAAAAACACCGTGAAGCTCACCATTTTGCTACCAGTGTGTTATTAAATGTGATGGATGAGAAGTAAGTTACAAATGAAGAGTTGGAAAGTTATCAAAATTCCATGAGACAAAACTCACTCTTAAATTGGTCATCTGATCCTTCTGGCACTGGTATTTCTGTAAGCCATTTATTTTCCACGACGACAACCCATGACAAATGATCAAGCAGCTACCTTCTTGGATGTCACAGAATTAACAATGGAGGCAAACTCAGGACCCTGCAACATAGAATATTAAGGTTAGTGAGAAGTTCTAAATGCAGCTAACCTTTAGGCAAACTCAGGACTCTGGAACATAGTATTATTAAGGTTAGTGGGAAGTTCTAAATGCAGCTCATCTTTCAAATATTCAACAAATCTTTTCACATGGAGGAGCTCTGCTTTGAGACAGTGTCAACAAGAAAGAAATATGCAGACCGGCTGAATTGGTTTACTTTACTACACAGTTAATCAAACTAATTGCACTGTTTAGTTTCTTTGCTCAACCTACTTTATCTATCTACATTTAAATTTCTAAGATACAACCACCACCTATAGCTGATTGCTTCTTCACTTTATGCCCTCCATAACAGCAACAGTGGGTCCCAGACATTCCAGGATCATTTGCTGCATTTCTCAAACGAGCGTCTTAGCTTTCGCCTGCCATCATTTTCACTAAGCATAATGACCAGTCAACAGTTGACAGCAGGCTAGCAAAACCATATAATGCACTTTCTGCTGTTCCTACTTAATTGACCTCCAGCAGGCTTCTTCCTCAATGCACTCATAGTCCCCTTCAACCACCAAGCTCTTGATTTTGCATCAAGCAACACAGCCATGCACTCAACTATCAAGGTTCTTCAAACTAATCTCCACATGTTGCTAGAGTTCTTCTCAAACCAAAGTAGGGTCTCCATGGAGCTTGCAGTAGTTGCCCACCAAAACCAAAGAATGTTATGTCCAAGAAATAGGGTAGGCCAATGTATAGTCACCGGGAATAACTGTTTCTAGATATGATTTTCTTTTTCTATGAATGCCATCGAATCTTGGTCAGCTAAAATTCAATAACTTATTCATTTGCTGAGTCTAGTAATTTTCGTCCAGGATATAGCTCATGCAAGTTTCAATCATTTCCACTGATTCAACTTAAAATCGGATACACTCCGTATGCTACAGTTGACAAGGAAATGAAGAAAAATTACCACCCAGATGCATGTACTTAGAAAATACAAGATTTACCTTTAAGGAAGCACCCCCTACTAGAAACCCATCTATATCTTCTTTCTTCGCAAGGTCAGAACAGTTGTTTCCATTCGCAGAGCCTGTCAAAAAGTTACAGTTTTAGGAACCATACCAATTACATGTCACTGTCACAAAAAATCTAGGCATATCATCAGCTAAGAACGTGCAAACCAGACTTTGAACACAGAAGATAGCCCTTTTCAAGAGAGAGACAAGTTCATGAAAACAATGCATCAAAGTTCATAGCTGACTCCAAAAAATAAAAAAACTAAAGGGACAAATGATAAAAATTCAACAAAAAGAACTGCAAATTTTGACACCCTAAGGCTCCACATAATTCAAGTGGAAGAGGGGAATTTTCAATACCTAGTTGACATGAGACCAAAACACAACATTGATGCAATCTTTAAATTTTAACAACTCATACATTCTCATGAATGAAACATGGAAGAAGGGAAGTTATTTATATGTGAATTCAACACTCAAATTCAAGGAATACCTCCATATATAATGCGTGTTTTAGAAGCAACTTCCGCTGAGACATTCTCACTAAGCCAACCACGAACAGCTGCATGCACCTCCTGAGCCTGCTCAGGTGTCGCCACTTTACCAGTTCCAATAGCCCATACAGGCTCATATGCAATGACAACATTATCCCAACTTGGTAAAGCATCTGCATGTCACTGAAAATTTCAATCAAACAGATTTAAGAAAGATAAAGCTTTCCCACATAATCCTTTTAACACAAGGGATAAATTCACTAAAACAAGTCAAAGAATATAAATCCATCCCTGCTCCAGGTGAGCAATTTTTTTGTTTTTATAGAACATAATTAGCAAAACCTGACCTGCAAAAGACTTCAATTGCTGAAAACATACATCAAAAGTTTTTCCCGCTTCTCTTTCCTCTAATAGCTCTCCAATACAGGCTATAACTCCAACATTCTGGCTCAAAGCATAAGCAGCCTTCTTTCCGATAAACTGCATGACAGAATGGCCCAGTCAAGTCCTTAGTGTACAGCTCAATGCACAGCGAAGTATATCATCAAGACCTGGCAAATGCTTTAATTTGCTCCACTCATGATCAAATAACTTAGCTCTTTCATAAGTTTCATAAATCTAATAGTTCTTGTGAAAAGCCTTACTTCATCATTTTCTCCAATAATATGTCTCCGCTCAGAATGCCCAAGAATGACCCACTTGCAGCCAAGATCTTTCAACTGTTCCACACTACAGATGTTAAAGAAAATATATTAGAAAGTGAATAAAAGTTAAATTAACAGAAGAGTAATCAGCCCCACGCTTGATTTATTACATATTTTGAAGTCAAACGTAATGACCAATGAAAAAATTATGCTCCCTGCCAGCCATTACCTAAAGAACCATGTCTTCTTTTCTGGGTGGGGATCAGGGGGAGGGGGAAAAGCAGTTCAAAGGTCATAGTTTGATGACTATACAACACACCGCATGGAATACAAAAAAAGTATATCGACCTGAAATCCGACACAGTAAGAACTCCAAAATCCTAGAGTCAAGTCTCAAGACAACCATAACCATACGGAGAACACAAAGAGAGACTTCCGTCAGAACTGCCGAGTCATGCAGGCTCTAATATTGGTCAAAATCTAGTTAAGACTTGCTTATTCAAACATAGAAGAAAACAGATGTTAGATGCACCTTGGAAGGAACCAAATCAATTAGAACTAAGCTGGGTCAGGTTAAGGAAGATAAACTTGTGGATAGATTCATTAGCCATCTCGTCACTCCTCTACCGGAGAAATTGTCATTGAGCTCCCTTTATGTTAATTAAAAAGCCCAGTTGAGAGAATCTCTCAAGTCAAAATTATTTCCCTAAGTAAATCTTGGTCTAGCTTTTCAGAAATTTGGAAATGCTGCAAGTTAATGTTCGAACCAAATTTTTAAAACTTAATAGAAACCATTATACACTGAAGAACAAGACAATTCTGGCGCATTATTTGATTTAGATTTAGACTGAAAAATGGAGCTTAACCTGATTTCACCCGTGAAAGCTCCGCCTTTGCCAGTCCAACAATTCTGAGCAGAAATCTCGATCCTATCAGTTAGTGAACTCTTTACTTGATCAATGTACAGAAAAGGAGGTGCTACAACCACATCTGCAAATTTTCCAGAAGACAGATTCTTTTGTGTTAGCAACTGATTCAGAAGATAAAATAACTATCTAAAAGCTACAAAATTAATAGCACTTTCAGCATTGTTGATAAATTGACCAAAGAAGATGAAAAAACCCAACATCATAGGTGGCAAAAAGTGTCTTCTCTATGTGTGGGTTTGATATTACAATGCAGCAACCATAAGCGTGGATACTTTGAAAGGACTGAGCTGTCCGCACCAAAGGTCCATGAAACTTAGGACCATGGACAATCCAATTACATAGATTGGTATTATATCTATTTTCTTTTGGCACTACGTAGTCGAAAGGGGAAGCGAAGCAAGAAGAAACAAATAGACAGAGAGTAGGGAAGAGGAAACTGACTTATCTAAAATGCAGCACAACTGCAAAGAACAACTAGAAGAAGGAACACCTTAACATAAGCATCATTTTTTTGCGTCCTTTTCATGCCTTTGACATTCTTTGAGCAAGCTAATTAACATGGGTTCCTTCTGAATCCTACGGCCAGAACATTTAAGAGGACTTGTTTTTCAAAATTATCTGCAGTTCTAGGTTTGTAAAGGGCCGAGTGTCAGTAGGACATGTGGATAAGGCAGTGCATGAACACTCTGATTGTAGATCTTCACAGTTTATACGACAAAT